TAAGCTGTGTCAAATACTTCGTTTATCACATGTATTGGTTTTCTTTTCAACTAAAATGCTTCTAGGATCCTATCTTAATTATCAAGCTTCTTTTATACTTGTATCTTGATGTTACCTTTGCCTTTTTCTCTCTCTAATACCATGAAGGTGTTAGTCAACTTAAGGGGAAATGGAGGGGGATATGCATATCCAAGGAAAATAAAGGGGAAGGCATCACTTTTTGTCTCCCCCTAGAGGGGAGCGTGTTGCTATTGCTGCCGGAAATCAGATCACGATTTTGCGGAAGGAAGATGACTATCAGGAGCCTTTTGGCATTTTTACCTGTAAGTTGCATTTGCAGATCTTATATGTGTACATTTAACATAGTTTTATGAGCTGAAGGTCACGAGTTCAAGCCTTGCTGGTAGCATTTTCTTTCCTTATAAGGATTTCTTCTCCAAAAAGAAAAAAAAAAACATTTAACATAGGCAATGCCTGGAAGATTGGCATCATATCTACTTATATATTTTTCTATTAGGATTTCTGCTAATATATGTTAGGATTATGCTAATAATTTTTTATGTGCACATAGAAGACGACACTTCAACCTACCTGGTGCCAGGGTAGGCATTAGCATTTACAGTGAAGAATGATCAATAATTATTTGGATTATGACTAGGAGTATAACTGTATTGGTTTGGTTTGATTTACAATCTATACCCAAATCAAACTACCCATTCCAAACTAATAGAGTCGATTTATAAACAATTCAAGTGAAAGTGAAGCAAACCCAACCAAAACAGAATAATTCAGTTTGGTTTGGTTTGATTTGGTTTAAACCGATTTTTTCTTGTATTTTTGAAAATTTTATACCTTCCACTATACAACATTAACATACATTTATAATAAAGTATCTTAAAACAATATTTCTCACAAAATAAGCAAGTTATGTATAGAATGTAGCCCTAAAGAAAGGTTTATATGTACATATGTTTTAGATGTTTAGGGCAAATAAAGTAGATATTTTTAGTTATTTGATAATATAGTATACATCTTATATTGTTTTTCAACTGTATATATTTGGTTTTGGTTTGAAAATTTTTCAAACAAAATTAAAAATTTTGGTTTGGAATTCAACTATATATATTTGGTTTGTTTTGAGAATTTTTCAAATAAAATCAACAATTTTTGTTTAATTTGCAATCCAAACCAAAATTTGGAAATCAAACCAAACTGAGGAGGGTCAAAGCCAAACCAAAACCATTTTGGTGATTTGGTTTGATTTTTCAATTTGCTCAAAGAAACTCACATTCTAATGTGACTAGCATCAGAGTCACTTAAAGAATAGGGTGGTGGGTGAAAGGGAAACTTGCATTCCTTTTAACTACCTTGGCATTGCTCAAACCAATGGTAGCTTCCTATGGAATGCCTTTGAAGTGGTACAAATAGGGTTAATTTATCCGATTGAGGATTTGGGGGATAAAAAATCTAGATGTTACATCTAGGGTTTCTTAGACATTACATCTAAGTAGTCTTAAGCGTCACAGTTAAAGATTTGATTATATCACACCCCTAGAAAATTGAGAAACTCTCAGAATATTATTAAATAATTGAATACTCCTATATGGGAAATTACAAAGCTATCTTAATGATTTATAAGTACGTGTTCTAAATAGAACTAAACTAAGAAACAATAACTAGTAGAATTAGGAATATTAATCCAAGTAAGAGTTATATTCGTAAGAATAAAGTATCCTCAGATTTATGCCATTACCCAATAGAGAGAGACT